GTCACTTTTTGGCTCTCTAAACCAGTGTTTTTCAACCACTGTGCCTCGGTACACTAGTGTGCCGTTAGTGATGGTCAGGTGTGCCGTAGAAAATCATCCTATTTCACCTAATTGGTCTAAAAAGATTTTTTGATAAGGAATTAATTATCTGGAAATAATATGCCAGTTTTGAGTGTCTGTGCTGTTCTAGTGACTGGTGGCGTAATCATGTAATAATTCCTTATGACTAGATTTTGTATATATTTTTGTACATTGAAGTGGACATGTTAAGTGCAATTTGAAAGAAGAAATATAAAATAGGATAAAAATACATTTTTGTGTTTATTTGATTCCTATTCAAGACACTTAAGATAAGATAAGAATAAAATAAGAATAACTATAGTGTTACTATAGGCGGCTACAGATTTGTTTAACATTTTTGGTTGGTGGTGTGCCTCGAGATTTGTTCAATGAAAAACTGTACCTTGGCTCAAAAAAGGTTGAAAAACACTGCTCTAAACAAACGAAGGCGCGTGGGAGACGCGTGGCTGACATTTAAAAGGCGCTAAAGTGGGCGCATGCGCAGTCCGGACTGACGCGGCTGACATTTACCGGATGCGGAGAGCGTGAAGTCAGCAAAGTTATCCGAAGTAGGACAGAACTAGGAGGAGATGGAGGCACGCTGCTGGCTGGAGGACGTTAATAATTCACAGCTCCTGACTTCACGCGGAGTGGCCTCAGGCCCCCCCCCCCCCCACACACACACACACAAACACACACACACACACACACACACCGGCTGCTTCTCTCAGCTCTGCAGAATCTGTTTGCAATCAGAATCAGATTTATTGCAAAGTAGGTTTTTAGACTTACAAGGAATTTGCCTTGGTGTTAGGTGCACAACACAACACTTCTATGAGAAGCAAGAAATAAAATGTAGAAATAAAAATATAGGACAGAAATGATAAAACTGAAAAATACAATCTTTAAAAATATAGATCCGAATGTACAAATGAACAATCTTTGAAAATATAGATCCGAATGTACAAATGAACAATTGAAATGTGCAATGTTGATTTGCAACGACAGACCAGAAAATGCTGACAGTAGCATTGGGTAAATTAGTGAGGTAGAGGGGGGTGGGAGAAGAATAGGTGGGGGTCACTGGTCTTGTTGATTAAAATCAGATGCAATCCGAGTAAACATCCGGGTCACAAAGTGTGGATTAAACTGGTTTTGCTTTTTGTAGAGTTTGCTGAACGGCCTTAATCAGACCTAATAGATCTATTTGTATGCTAATTTCCAATGGAGATATGGGAGTTAGAGGCATTTTGGGGCAGAGTAGGGAAAATAAACCAGCCGAT